AAAACCACAGGACGGAGACACAGGAGAAGAAGGTGAGAGGCTAAAAACGGGAGTCAATTGTTAGTACTTATTAATATTATTTCACAGCACAGTGATGGCATCCCCCTGAAATAAAGGCGACAGGAAAAAAAAATCATGCAGCAAAAATAGCATTTTAATGAGGAGAGCCGAGGGAAGGTAGTAGTCATGAGCACAAGAGTCTGCACTGAGTGCGGAGCAAGATGAGGAAACCGCATGCATTCTATCATGAACCTTTAACCGAGGGGGAAGAAATAGCACAATCAGTAAACATTTAAACGAACGTTATATACTGTGCAGATAGACAGACAGCATATGTATATTGTTTGTGTCCTAACTCATTATACACACACATGAAATACGTACGTGTTTGTGTCTGTGTGTTTTATCTCTTTTTTTAACACTAGATAATTTTCATTGAGTAATACCTATGCTTTTTAAGCAGTGTCTGGTGCTAACCTTGAGCTGGTGAAAGTTGAGGGGCTTGGCCTTTGTGTGTAAGACCCTGTGCACCACTAACAGGCCATGTGTTGAAGGAGAAGGGCAATTCACTCACACTATGACAAGACAGCTTAACATTGTTACCAGGCCTGCACCCTACTGAGAATCACTGAATTGCAGGTTCCCCCTTACTATTTGAAGATTAAATGTTAAATTCAAGTAGGAAATTAACTCACTAGTGATTTCCTGGTTTCAGGTTTATATTTCTATAAAGCATCTATTTCCCAGGGCTTCGCGAATAAAACCCAACTGTTCAAGAAAAATCTAATGTTAAGTAAAATGTTAGTCATGAGTTCAAAATTATGCCTCATTATTACGCACTGGGAACACTCAATTATCCTACAGTGGCTGTATGAGAACTGTTAAATCAGTCACAACTTGTTAGATGTGTATTTTACATCAGTAAACTTACCAGTTGGGTGTATCAGGATTATAATAAAGGTAAATTATTTTATAATGGACAATTTGAAATCCAATCATTAATGGAATGTATTACTAATTAGGTTTTCTCCTGCCAGCAACATATGTTGTGTCACTGTACCAATTCCCCCATGTACAAAGAACAACCACGTTTCTGGCATTAAGATTTACTGATCAAAGGCAAGAGAAAATACCATGCAGGCTAAACGATGCACACAAACCTGCCAATAAAATTGGACCTGGTTTTCAATGATGTATACTCTTTTAAAATTTAATTAATGAAAACTGTGCTTATGTATTTGTTGATTGTGCAGATTCTGCCTATACAAGTCAGTGTATGCTCTGAAAGCAAATTAGCTAGTGATAAAGAATATTTGTTATAATTGGAGGAAAAGGTCGGTGAAAAATGACCTCACACCATATGGCAAGGACACATTTATTTATAATTGAAATAATTAAAATAATATCTATATTCTGCTTTGCAGGCTGTTTTAGCCATACCTCCCAAAGATACCCTGGAAGACAATTTGATGTGTCCTGCACCACGTTGATACAAGTACAGTACTTTGTCAATAGCTGCTTAATAATAGATTAACATGTCTGATGACGAGATTAACTTTTATGCTCCTTTCTTACAATAGTAGTATTCCAGTTATCCATTAGTGTAATATTATTAGACTATTGATAATGACAGTGATTAACCCTTAATTATGAGCCATATGGTGTTTACAGTATCTTGTAAAGGAATGCCTCCCTGGCATTCAGAGAGTTAAAGGTCTACAGCAATCCATTTTAATGTGTTACTCAGGAAATCAATACCTATTCATGAATTTTGTTGTGTAACTCTGGCAGCTTAAGTTGGGGCATAGTTAGACCTGAGAGATACATATCTGGAAGACGCTTTGAGATGTTACCAGGATGGGTTGTGTCCTTTTTTTTATTCCCCGCCCCTAGTTTTTGTTCCTCTTTCCAGGGATATCCAACAATTAGACATTCACAATAAGGCAGTGGGGTAGGGAAAAAGACAGGAAAGAGCAGTCTATAGCTTATTGAATCTATTCTTTTAAAAAAACACACACCTATTTCAATAATTTGGAACTTACAGATTTTATTGCACAGTTGAAATCAGTAGGCATTGTCACATCTCTACCATAGGGCCTGTAACACTCTGCATAGAAAGGTTAGAATGCCTCTTCTGTTAGTATAGCAGAGTGAGGGGAAAATGGATTGTGTGTACATTTTTTTCACACAGTCCTACTCAACCTTACCTCTATAATTAAAATAATTTATTTTAACTGATCTTTTATAAAATCTTAACTCAGACCAGTGGCGGATCCAGAGCCTGATCTCGGGAGGGGCACTTGTAGATTATTTAAATAAATAATCCAGACACAATAACCACTACAGCTCAGTGTAGTGGTTATGGTGTCTATAATGCCGGGACCCCCTCCCAAAGTAAGTAGTCAAACCGTTTAAGAACAGTTTGACAATTTACCTGAGGTCTGCTGGGAAATGGGGCAGTAGTAGTGCATAGGAGCAGTAGTGTGTGTGAGTGGTGCAATGTGTAAGGGGTGCAGTGTGTGTGAGGGGGACAATGTGTGAGCGTGTGTGAGAGCGGCAGTGTATGTCAGGGATGCAGTGTATGTGTGGGACAGTATGTGTGTGTAACAGTTGCAGTGTGTGGGTGTGTGTGAGTAATACATTGTATCTGTGAGTGTGGGCAATGTGTGTGTATGGGGCGACAGTGTATGGGGGCAGTGTGTGTGTATGGGGGGCAGTATGTGTGTATGGGGGGCAGTATGAGGGGCAGTGTGTGTGTATGAGGGGGCAGTATGGGGCAGCGTGTATGGGGGCAGTGTGTGTATGGGGCAGTGTGTGTGTGTGGGGGGCAGTGTGTGTGTGTATGGGGGGCAGTATGGGTGCAGTGTGTGTGTATGGGGGCAGTATGGGTGCAGTGTGTGTGTATGGGGGCAGTGTGTGTATGGGGGCAGTGTGGGTGTATGGGGCAGTGTGGGGCAGTGTGTGTATGGGGGCAGTGGGTGCATGGGGGCAGTGTGTGCATGGGGGCAGTATGGGTAGCAGGGTGTATGGGGGCAGTATGGTGTATGGGGGGCAGTGTGTGTGTATGGGGGCAGTATGGGTGTATGGGGGCAGTGTGGGGGCAGTGTGGGTGTATGGGGGGCAGGGGGGTGTATGGGTGGGGGGCAGGCAGTGTGTGATATAAGGGTATGGGGGCTTTTTTTTTTAATATATATTTTTACTTTATTTAAATAAATATTCTACGTCCCCCCTCCCTTCTTACCTTTACTGGGGGGAGGGGGGACATTTCCCTGGTGGTCCGGTGGGGGATTTATTGGGGGTCCCAGTGGTGAGAGTGAACTCTAGCCCGCGCTCCCGGGCTAGAGTTCACTCTCGCGAGATTTGGAGCGTTACCGTGGTAACCGCGGCAACGCTCCAAATCTCGCGAGAGGAGGACCCGGAAGAGCTGCAGGCTGAGCTCCGAGTCCTCTCTCTCACTCCCTCTCCCTCCCCTGCCGGCTGTCAGGGCAGTGCCTGCAGACCGGGGAGGGAGATCTGTGATCTCCCCTCCGGTCCGCAAGCACTTTGCAGGGCTAGCACCTGCATGTGCTGGCAGGGGAGGGAGAGGGAGACCGTCGGTATTCTCGGGCTGGGGGGGCAATTGCCTCGTTGCCCCCCCCCCCCCGGATCTGCCACTGACTCAGACAGACGTATTTCAAGTGCTTGATAATTGAAGATTATGATAGCTTTAGCTTTAATAATCTTAATTTTAGTAATGACAGGGGGCGAGTATTTTGCATAATCTCTCTTACTAGCTCCACACAGCAGCAAAGAAACACATAGAAAAAAGAACCAATCACAAGAGAGTAGGATGTACATAAGGCATAGTGACTCTTTCAGAATGCGACATCAAGCAGAAGTAAACCTATAACAATAACTCCTAAGTCCAACATCCGAAGGAGCAAACTTCCCCATGAATTCCACACAAACAACGAAAATGTGTTCAGGGACAAATCAAATCCGAAGGATCAAAATTCCAGAGAGTTTCAGAGAAATAACCAAATGTCTTCAGAGACGAATCATACTGAAAAGAGAATGTGTGACTGGTTTAGACACATAGTCATGAACATGTAAATCCAAGTAACGTACCATATACATCATCCCATAGAAGAAAATTGTAAATTACAATCTGAAAACTGAATAACTATTATGTAAAACTTCAATGAGAATTCCAGATTAATGGAAATACAATCATCAATGTAAGCACAAAACATTGAGAGCCAAACCTACTTTAGACCCGTGATACATACAAACAAAACGAACATAAAGGGTGGGTTAGCTAAGGTTAGGGAAAATACTCGCCTCCTGTCATTACTAAAATTAAGATTATTAGTACACTAAAGCTAGCATAATCTTCAATTTTACAACATGACAGGAGGCTTCATATTTAGCATTTTTAACTCTGAGAAAGGAATAGAAAATTAATGAAGAATCCGAAAGTGCGACGGGATACCTAGCGCGTCGGGTCTACGGGAGAAATCTCCCCGCCGAACACCCGAACATCCGGTACCTGGCGGAAAGCCACCAGTCCAATCATAAAACTCTATCTGTAGAGGCCCCGTCCCGCAGAAAAAACAGAGAACGACCTCCGCTGGTACATAAGTTTTAGGATCCTTGTCCATCGGGAGTACCCAGACGGGGACACGGGCCATTGAGCTGTCCAAACCACCACATAATGGATCAAGGTACAGTTCCAAACATCAATCAGACCGGGAACGCCCAGATGGAGAGGTAGAATCGTCACATCCCTGGGGCCCAAGAGACTCCTAAGAGGTCCCTAGAAGCCTGCAATAGTCTGGCGATCTGCCAATAATAATAACTCAGAAAGAGTCCTGGCCAACAGGGTTAGTTGACCCTTCAGGAATAGAAGATGCTGGTTTCCTTTGGATCCGTGAGAAAAGTAGGATATGAATATAGGAGAAGGAGATCCTCACCAGTCAGTCCTGTAAGGTACGGGAAACATGTTTGACTCCGTCACAGCGGGGCGGCCAAGGCAGTATTATTCACTGAACAAGGAGATGATGGAGAAGTTTCGCAATCATCGCAATGGAGGGAAAAGCATACGTCCCCGGAGGAGGCCCAGGTAGCTGGAGTGCGATCAACATTGTGCACCCTCATGCAATGTGCCAATTGAATAACACCGCATTCTGGCGGTCCCTGTGATATGTGTCTCCCTTGGGAGATAGGCCGACCTTCGGGGTTCTGCGAGGAAGTCAGGAATCGAAGATGCCTTTCATGATGTCTGATAGAAAATGGGATTTAGTTCCATCCTGGTGATTAGTATACCTGACTGTCGACACTGTCCATCCACAGTAGGATGCAACCCATGGAGTACTCCTTTACCAGGCTGTGGATAATGAAGTACTGCACAATGAATTCTAGGTCTGCAACGTGAAGGGAGAATTCCTGATTTGTGAACCCGTCGTCGTGGGTGTGGTCTTGCAGGTTGCCCTCGCAGCCCCTTGCCCACAAGCTGGGATCTGACCTCCGAATGAAGTCTAGTTGGTGGTATGGGTCTGCCTGAGTGAACCTGACCAGGCCTAACTGCCTGTCCTGGTAGCGAGTCTGGGAAGATGACCTGGATGGAGGAGGGCAGTATTCCACAACCCGGGCGAGTGTATGTAGGGTCACGGTGTTGCAGTGAAGGACCATGTGAAAATTCCTTGAGGATAGAGGAGACCTATGAAGGGAAAAAACATCCGCGTGCAAGCAGTGGTGTTGCTTACGAATCCAAAGAAGCAGATCATCCATCACGAAACACGACAATTCCAGCCGGACCACAGAGAACCTCAAGTGGCGCAGTCTTGAGTTCCCTGAATCGCCTGCAGGAGATTGTCCAGGAAGATAATGTCACATCTTACCCATACCTAATTGATAACTGGTTTCGGTAGTTTCAATAAACCCATCCAAGTATCCGAGTTGAGGGGCCAGGTGAAGAGCCGAGGTTGATCATGTCACAGGGGACCTAGATAACGTCGTCAAGGGGGATGGAAAAGGATCACCATAACGTGTCTTCATATCTAGTTTTGTCAGGCCAGTCGTCCATGCAAAAGGTTCCTTATTAGGTATGAATGCCTTCCGCCTAGATACGATGGAAATTCCTGTAAGCAGAGTAGAAACTAAGTTGATCGTACCTTAGAGGCATTAACCTGGGGGAAAATGGTATCTGCGCGTTCAGTGTTCTCTGTCCGATCGTCTGGAGCATCAGAGGTTGACTCTCGGTCCTCCCTTGCAATAGCGTTAGTGATAGTGGGGTACATGCTCAGATGTCCTGAATTGTTTGGCGACAAAGCCCTGCTGTAGGCTGGTCCCGAGGAACACCCCTTAGGGGGGTTACCATATAACACCTTCCTCCTGGAGGTGTGGGTCTTGATGAGGGCAGTGAGACCATAAACATGTGTAATAAGTTCCCTCGTGAAAAGTGTGCCTAGGGTCCCAATGATTTGGCACCCACATCCGGGAACCAGCCTTCAATACGGAGAAGTGCTGCTATGCGCTTCCCATAGAAGAGGTGAACACTGGGGTTTATGATTAAACGAGCACATCTCTGAGTCCATTCACAAATATCGGGTGCCCCTTCCCAGACTGTGATAGCGTTTTCCGGTATTTTACCCATGATGGGGTCGAGAGAGTCCATCAGTTAGTCCTACGTGTCCCTGAGACCTTTCCTGGCTACCTTGTGAAGTGGCTGTCGCCCAGAGCCATGAAGGACATCATTCGCTGGTTACACAGCTGTCTGTGCCACTCCGTCCGGGAGGGAAGGGCATGGGTCGTCTGACCCCAAGCGTTTACGGACATTTTATCTAGAGGCTACAAAACCACAGGTGCATAAAGTAGCCAGGCGATCGAGAGGGGACCAGTCTCTCGAACGTTGGTGAAGGATGTAGGTTACACAGCCATTGACCAGTAAGCATGTGAGACACCATCATCTTAGTTACCTGGGATCCCCCAGAAAAAAATACGCAGGTAGTTTTATTGTGATATGGGATACCCTTGTAGAAGGCACAAACCAGTAGGCAGTCTCAGGTTGCAGGGCATACAGATCAGCCTACCATAGTAGTATGTAGTGTTCACAAAAATCCCTGCAGGGTTACCTTTTTGTGTCCTTTTACCCCACTCCCTCTAGCATGTAAGCTCATTGAGCAGGACCCTCAACCCCTCTGTTCCTGTGTGTCCAACTTGTCTGGTTACAACTACATGTCTGTTCGTCCACCCATTGTAAAGCACTGCGGAATTTGATGGCTCTATATAAATACCATAATAATAATAATAACAGTGGCCAAATAAAATAGACTGGGGCTCACCCAGTAAATAGAGGTTGCAACAGCATGCCTCCACTCAGCAGCACAGTGCAACACACATATAATAGGGGCTCATCCTAGGAGCATAGGGTATGAACCCTTAAGTGCTGGCCACAACCCTGATAGAGTGCATCAATCAGTTCTCCAACAATGACATTTGCTGTCAAGGGAGCAATTCGTTTAAGCAGGAAGTGCTGAAAATCCTGCCCAACAGTTAACAGAGTCTGTAACAGCATGCCTCCCTGCAGCAGTGCAGTATACATCTAGTAGGGGCCACACCTCGGGTGCAAAGGATATGAATTCTTAAGTCCTGGCCATCAGCCTGATAGAGAGCATCCGTCAGCTCTTCCAATAATTAATGCACTGTCATGGAGATATTCTGTGAAGCTGGAAGCGCTGAAATTGTATCCAGTAGCTAACAGAGGCTGACATAGCCTATCTCCATATAGCAGTGTAGAGTAGCGTGTACATCCAATTAAACAGCTGGTTAAAGGTCATGGGGTATATCCCTTTAAGCTGTATGTCCAGGGAATTCTGCGTCGTTGCAATAGCCTGATGCCATTTAGAAGGACAATGTAGTAACGACTAGCCAGGGTCAACCCCAGGTGTAGAGGGTAAGCACCCTTAAGTGTTCATGTCACAGTCCTAATCACATATAACTGACGTAATTCAACCTAATGTGTAATTATATGGCATATTGCTGAGATAGAGCACTAATCAGTGCTGTAACAGTTAATCTTAGGGTAAAGGGTGATATCCCTTTAAACCTCCAATATAACTGAGATAATTCAACCTTAATGTGAAATGATATGGCACATACCTGATATAGAGCACTAATCTGCGCTCTAACAGTCTGAGGTTAATGGGTGATATCCCTTTAAATCTCTATATAATAGACGTAATACAATATAACATGAATTTATAGTACAGAATAATACCTGTACTTGGATTCAAACTTGTGTCAGAGCCGTGTAAGCAGGCAGCATTAGTAGTATAAGCCACTCCCGAGCGCCAAAAATCAGGTTGCGCGGGTGTAGCAAGATGGCCACCCTCAATCTTGTGTGATTAAAGATGGCCACCATGGTGTACAGTTAAACCAAGATGGCCGCCCTCAATCTCGCAAGACTAAAGATGGCCGCCGCGGTTCGATTGCAATGAGCCGCGTGGCCGGCGTCAAACTCGAGAGTGCGGCGCAACCGGGGGGAAAGGCTGCTGTTGAGCCTGGATTACTAACCCGGGTGCCGGTGGAATCCGTGGAGGGGTAGGGTTGAAGCACCAGAAAGGCACAAAGAAGTAAAAGACCCAGAGGGAAAGAAAGGATGGGAGGTGGCCAAGCACCCAGATTAAGGTAAAATGTCAAAACAAAGTAGACAAAACCCTCAGATGCCCATAGAAAAGAAGCATAGCAAAACAAATCGCAAAGCCTATGGAAATACAATCCCCAAAACAGTCCCAAAAAGGCAATAGAAATACAATAATGGAGGAGAGTAATACTCTGACCTGTCTGTTTGATGGAGCAGCAAAGAAAGAGGAAGTGATGGGGTCACTATGCCTTATGCACATCCTACTCTTTGTGATTGGTTCTTTTTTTCTATGTGTTTCTTTGCTGCTGTGTGGAGCTAGTAAAGAGAGATTATGCAAAATACGAAGCCTCCTGTCATGTTGTAAAATTCTTTCCTGGGTATTAATCAGACCACCCAAGCATGATTTTCAAGCATAATTCATTAACATGGCAATATGAAGAAAGTTCAATAAAACATGTCTTCTGTCAAATAAAATCTTTTTTACACACAGTTACTTTCAATTATAAGACTGTTTATTTGCATGTTTTTAAAGAATTTATGACAAGAAATATGAACAGTCCATTATTTACTTGATGTACCTGGATACCTGACCATTACAAAGGCATTTGATACAGTACAGCTCAATAAGTTACTGTATACACTGATCAGCTACTACATTAAAAGTACTGACAGGTGAAGTGAATAACATTGCTTATACAATGGCCCCAGTCAAGCGGTGGGATAGATTATGCAGCAAGTGAACAGTCAGTTCTTGAATTTCATGTGTTGGAAGCAGGAAAATGTGCAGGTGAAAACATCTGAGTGACTATGACAGGGCAAAATAGTGATGGTTAGACAACTGGGTCAGAGCATCTACAAAGCTGAAGGTCTTATGGGTTGTTCCCAATATGCAGTGGTTGATACAGAAGAGTTACTATAGCTCAAGTTCCTGAAAAACTTGCAATTGTGGTGTAGCCACAGACCCATCAGAGTGTCCATGATGAACCTTGTTCATTGCCAAAAGTTTCCTCAGTTGGGCTGTGAGCATCAGAACTGGACCATGAAGCAATGGAAGAAGGTTGCCTGGTCTGATGAATCACGGTTTAATGATTACTGCAGATAACATATAAGGTCAGGAGATAGAGATTGTTTTTACTTTAGTAGGGAATTGATCGAAAGACATTCTAGAATGGGTGACTGTTGTGACGAGACCAATCTCGCCACATTGCATTGGAGAAGCCTGGTTGCTCGCCTGTTGCCTTTGGATTATGGCCCCATGTTAAAAGGCTTGATTTTCCCCTGCAAAGACATGAAAGCCAGGTCACTTGGTGCTTGCCCTGTTTGAGCGGTGATACCCCAGATAGCTATGCCATGGAGCCTATTCGTATAATGAAAGACTATGGGAAAGACTTTGGCTCCATGGCAATTGATCTGTATGTGTGTGCTCTGAGCGCCATTCAGTAATAATGTGCGCTCAGATCTGAGCTATCTGGGGATATGTTGAATGTACCTGTTTTGTGCAATGGCTGCACAGTTATATGTTTTTATGTGTTTTATTGTCTTTTGCTGCCATGTGTTCAATGAGTTTTGCCTCTGTCTTTGGAGATAATTGGATTACTTCCCAATTATCTCCAGGATAGAAGACTCTGTGGAACTGGTTTTGGGCAGAAAAGCCATGCTTCCTTTGGTCACAAAGGACTACGATCTATCTTTTGAACCACTGGTACGATTTGTATGATTTTGACATATGTTTGTATTTGGAGTATGCTGTTTTATGTGAATGTGATGCATACTTTTCAAGTTATGAATAAAGTGGAAAAATTGTATTTCTCTGCTTGTTATAGTTCCATTACACATTGTGTAAGGTAATTGAATCACAGGCAGAGGGGAGGATTTTGTGTGGGAGTGTTTGAGTGTATTGTATGTGTTTATTGGTTGTGTTCTAAAACCCTGTGGGTGGTACTAATGTGTAAGAATGTGTACATAAGCACAATAAACCCACAACTCTGACTGTTCACTGCTTGACCCTCAACACGGAGCTTTGTCTCGTTCTTGGGGGGGATTTATTGTATGCTGTTCCAGTTCGACTGCTAGGAGTGTAAACCTTTCGTATGGTTTTTCCTATTCGGCTGTTTACAGCATTCGTATGGTTCCGGTTCGGCTGTTTATAGCATTCAAATGCTTTTCCTGTTTGGCGGATTGGTGTTCTGCAGTAGCTGTGCCTGTGTCTCTGGAAGGGAAGATCTACTAAACAGCGGTTTAACCCTTTTATGCTCGGGGTGCCTTTACAATTGGTGGCAAGCGGCGGGATCGTTCCTACAGCCAGAAGGACAGCTACAGGAGACACCATTTCTTTGGATTTTACAAATTGAGGGCAACGCATGTCTGAGTACAGCGACCCCGACAGCACCAGGATGGAACCAGCAGTGGAGTATGATGAGGGTGTCATGGATGATCGAGATGCAGTTCGAAAAGGCATCTGGTACCAGGCACTGGGTATTGCGGAGTACCAGCGGGGCGAGAGACTCCCCAAGGAAGACCAGCTATTGCAGAAGCGACTAGCCCTGCGGATGTCCTTCCTGGGAGAGCAGCCCCTGGAGGAATGGGTGAAGGAATTGGAGCTCCGGGTATGGCAGGAGATGTGGCTGGAAGATGCATACCAGGCGCTCTGGTGGTATGGGGCACAGTACCTGCCCTGGACAGCGGAGCATGACAAGCCAGAAGGAGAGGAGTTTGATGGTCCTGGCTTGTTATGGGAGGCTTTTTCAGAGCCTGAGTTTGGGAGCCCTACACAAGCCCGGTTCAGTGATCTCTTGGAGTGGAGAGAGAGCAGGTATGACTGGGACAACACTCAGGAGATTGAGCAAGACCTGGTCCACCCGGTGACCCGAGAGATGGAGCTGGAGCAGGGCTACCAAGATCTGTTCCACTTCAGTGAGAAGGCTCAGCAGGGAAGCGGAGACCCAGATCCAGACCCATTCAGCTGGGCAGATATTGCAGAATGTTACTGGGAAAAACCCCAGGTGGCTGGTGGAGATGGGACCGAGGTCTCTCCACCGGTCCTGCAGGGTATTGGGAGCCCAGTCTCCATTCCCCAGCGAGAGATATTGCAGGGAATTGGGAGCCCAAGCTCCATTCCCCAGCGGCAGGCTGAGTTACAGGGGACAGAGATAGTTGCTTTTGTCCCCCAGCAGCAGAGTGAATTGCAGGGAATTGTGAGCCCAAGCTCCATTCCCCAGTGGCAGGCTGAGTTACAGGGGACAGAGATAGTTGGTCCTGTCCCCCAGCGGCAGTGTACCTTGCAGGGAGAGGAGAGCAGCGTCCTCCCTCCCCAGTGGCAGGGTGAGCTACAGGGATGCTGGGCAGTCGGCTCAGATCCCCAGCGGCAGTGTGAATTACAGGGAATTGGGAGCCCAGTCTCCATTCCCCAGCGGCAGTATGAGTCATTGGGAATTGGGAGCCCAGTCTCCATTCCCCAGCAGGAGATACAGCAGGGAATTGGGAGCCCAGTCTCCATTCCCCAGCGGGAGATACAGCAGGGAATTGGGAGCCCAGTCTCCATTCCCCAGCGGCAGATACAGCAGGGAATAGAGAGCCCAGTCTCCATTCCCCAACGGCAGAGTGTCCTACAGGGAATAGAGAGCGCAGTCTCCTTTCCCCAGCAGCAGGACTCTGTATTGGGAGCAGAGACCGTCGGTCTCCCTCCCCCGTGGCTGGAAGTATATATGGGAGAGGAGCTTGTTACCCCCTCTCCCCAGCGGCAGCTTAACGTACCAGGGGGGGCAGTAAACCCCACAACCGTGCAGATGGGACCGTGGTCTCTGCACTTACAGCACAGGGGGTAGGGACGGTCAGTTCTGCCCCCCAGCGACAGGGCTGTTTAGCCAAAGGGGAGACAGTCGGTCTCCCCCTCCAACAACCAGGCTTCAACCAGGCTACTCCCGTGGTAGCGCTGGCACCAGGGCAGAGTACCGCTGGTCTCTGCCCACTCAGCAACCCACCAAGTCAGCTTACCAGTCACCCACACAGCCGTGGTGAGGCATCTGGACA